CCGGTGCCCGCGTTGCTGCCGTGGGCCCCGGGAAAGCGCCGCGCAGCAGGAGGGGGCTCTGCTGCGGGGCGGAGCGGGCCGCGCGCCCGGGCTCCGCCGCGAGGTTTTCACGCGAAAATTAATGGTTGGTCTGCGCGAGAAGCTGTAAAATGTAGCGTCTGCTGGAGTAGTCCTTAAGGAGCCTTTCATGTGGTATCTGCGGACGTGCCGCCTGCTTTAATTTCATCTTTGTTTGCTTGGCGCATTTTGGGGGAGCGTAAGTGCTGTTAGGCTTATGTTTAGATACTTCCATTTGTTCATGGAACTCAGTGAAAAGTCATTGCTTTTGTAATGCGGATTTCTTTGAAAGTTATAATGTATCTTCATGAAGTGTTTGTTATGAAAGAGCACTTCTTAACATAATAGAACCCTCTATATTTTGTTTCCCAGTCCTCTGCACTTACTAAATCAGACCCCAAGCACTGAAAATGATCATAGATCTGCGACTGTCATTCAGCTGGGAAGAGAAGAGCAGACGGTTGTTTCCTGATGCCTCTTCACAGGATTTTTTTTTCTGAGCTTTGTCTTATTAATGTGATATTCTTAAACAATCACGAGTGTGGGATCATTACAAGTTGCCCACAATATAGGAAGAACAAGCATGTAATTCTTGGCTTTCAAGTTTACAAAACAAAATTGTGGCATTTAAGTTCATCTTTGGCTCTTGTCTTAGAGGTCTTAGTAGTGCGTTTTCAAGTTCCTGGATGTTTTGTTTTGTTTTCCATCCAGAAACATTTATATAAAGTACTTAACATGTCTGGGACTCTTTGTTTATGTAATGCAGTAAAAAATGAAGAATAATGTTTTTAGGAAAAAAAAAGGCAGAAAATCCATTTGTTTCTTTGAATAATTCAAAACTGCATTTATGAATTTCAAAAGCTTGAAGACCTCTGTCCTCTGTAACTAAATTTCTGGGTTGAATTCTCCTCTCTTGCTGCATCGACTAGATTACTTTTGCTGCTTCCTACCAAAAATGTGTTCTCATTTGGGAATGTTTGCTCAGCTGAAAAGAATAAAAGCCTTTCAGAAAGGAGGCAATCTATCTGCAAGAACGTACATTCCAGAATAACAGAATTAAGTTAAAAGGCCCAGGCACAATTTGCTTAACACCAAAGAATAATTCCCGATTACTTTTTTTTTTTCTGTAAAACTTGAAGACAGCAAGTGTAGTTGGGATATTTCTTCACAGATTGTGTGTTAGTTTTCCTAAATCTTTCCTAGTATGGATTTACTCTATATATTCTCTTTTCCAGTTAAATAACTTGTGCCCATGATAAAGAGGAAAATATTAGTATCCAAATAAATAAATATAAGTTAATTATAGAATATGTCAGATAATTATTTGATATGTTTCAAATTACCGCTTTAAAATAACACTATCAGAGTTCAAATAATGAAAGTCAGTGGGATCAATAGGGGTTCAAAGGGTTCAAAACTTAAAGATCACTGATAAAATACTATTCAGTCTTATTTTAGTCAATTATGTTATTTAAGTTTTGTATCAATATCTGTGTTAATATACTAGGCAAACAAAATTAGCGAGTAGAACTATGCACTTTTCAGCTTTCTTACTGGTGTTCAACCAAAGCTGAAACTTGGGAATCCTGCAGCTGTCTAATAAAGAGCAAGACCTCCTTAAAATTTTTAGGCATTCAAAGGCTACTCACAATGACAGTTTAAATATGTACTTTGTAAATAGACCCAAGGTTGTAGCTAGCCTGATTATTTTATAAAGGAAGGTTTGATACACTGCTAAAAAGCTAACACAAATATTGTAGACTTTTTATCGTTATGGTAAAGGGGAACTAAATGAGTGTGGTTTTTATTAATAACTCTTATGATTTACTTGAGTTAAGTCTGTAAATCCAATCTGTTCATGTAGCCAGGTATCAATAGTGTGTTAGGGAGTCTCTCCAGCATTCTAGAATAGTTTAATCTAAACTTGGGTCCCTCTTAAAAAAAAAAAAAAAAAAAAAAAAAACCTTACTTTGCTTGCTTTAAGGCTCATCTTTTCAGAAGAAGGGAAATGACAGTGGTTGCAGAGCACAAATCCTCCTACAATTCAATTTCATATGAAAGCTTTAATGGGAAGCCTGCTAAGTATTTACACCATCATGAGGAAGAGGCTTTCAGTGGCTGTTTTATTGTCTCTGAACCTGCAAGTAACTCTCTCTGAATA